TGTCCTTTCGTGAACCACGCGCGCTCTCGCGCGCGGAGCATTCCGCGTTGCCGCAATGGGTCAGTGGTCACGTTGGCCTGGAAGCTCAAGTTGGCCGTTTTGCGGTGACCGACTGGATTTCCAACTTAACATGCGGTTTTTATGTGACCGCCTACTGGTGCTGCGCGCAGCGCGCCGACGCGCGCGCGCGCTCGCGCGCGTGGTGCTTTCCCTATTGTCCACAATCGATCAATCGCCATGTTGGCCTGGAAACTAAAGTGAACCCTTAGCGGTGACCGACTGGATTTCCAACTTAACATGCTGTTTTTACGTGGCCGCCGATTGGTGCTGCATGCAACGCGCCAGCGCGCGCGCACTCGCGCGTGGTGGTTTCTGTATTGCCCACAAGAAGAATCGTCATGCTTGGCTTGGGAACTGAAGTGGGCCCTTAGCGGTGACCGATTGGAATTTCAACGTATCATGCATTTTCCATCCATGTACTTGGGGAAACGCGCGCGAGCGCGTTTTCGAGCGTGGCGGATTCTGGTTTGGCCTGGTCTGGTTTGGCCTGGTTGGTCTGGCGTGGCTGGCCGACGCGCTGCGCGAGTCAAACCAACGCAAACTCCAGCAGCGCAGGCTGCCCCAAAGACCCAGGCGGCCGCCCAAAACCACACTGTACCTCCAAGCGGCCCCCAACCTACCCCCCCCCCCCCCTCCCCCGATGCCGCCAGCCCCCGCCAAGCGCCCAAGCAGACCCTTGAGACCCTGATTGGGCCCAGCGCTTCGCAACTTAACCTCGTTCGTTCAACGGGCGGGGGCTGTCGGCATAGACAACTAGATCTCTGTCCTGCGTCAGCGGTGCTTTCGGGTAAAAGCAGCTACATGCTTGGTTTCCGTCAGCGAGGCTGTCGGGTATAAGCAGCTAGATGCTTGTTGTCCGACAGCGGTGCGGTCGGGCATTTGAAAAGAACTCGTTGCGAGCGCGCTGCAGGGTTGGCATGAGCCCTTCTGTGCACATGAAGCGGGGGTCATCACGAAGCCCTGTTGGGAAAAAGCTGGGTCACGGGAACAATCGCCATCACAAGCGCGAGCAACACCATCAGCGCCGTCACCAGCGCAACCAACAACGCAACCACAAACACAACCATAACCACAAACACAAACACCAACACACATACAACCAACCACCCCACGAAAAATGTAACGAACACCCCGTGGGAACCACTTATCGGCTCGGGGTTTTAAGAATGGGCCAGCGCATGCAAACCGCTCCAACGCCCATGTATGTGGATCAATCCTATGAAACAGACACCTCATGCACGAGCGCAGCTGCCAGCACAGCCACCAGCACAACCAACAACGCAACCATTACCATGATCACCGCCGCTAGCACACACACGCAACCAGCAGCGCAAAACACCTCCACTACCCCAACAAGCCCCCAATAAGACTCTAAGAGGCCTCCAAGATGCTCCCAATATGCCCCCCCCCGAAATAGCTACTCCGCCCTAAAGAAGCCGACCCAACTTGACTGGTGCATGTTTCTGGATGGGCTGGGGGGATACGCGAAGCGGCAATAATGTTTGTGAATATCCTGTGTGCTCCGCAAAGCGACCCCTTGTGCCCTTGCGCGCGCGCGTGCGCGTGTGCGTGCGTGCGGGGGGGTGCATGGTAGGCGCAGAAGGACCCATTGATGGTAGCCATGCGGGAATGCATTGTGAGCTTAGGAGGACCCCTTGCCGCACCATGCCAGGTTTTGGAAGGCTGGTGCTCAGTTGGAGTCGGTTGGTTGCGGCCTGAAGCCGTCCCTTATCAATGTGACCAACACAGACAACTGGATCAAGGAGGAAGCTAAGCGCCTCTTCGACTACGACCCAGAGGAATGTCCCAACGGCATGTCTTATCCAGCCGGCATGGGGTGTGCAGAGAAGTACGGTGGGATTTGCCCAGAAGAACCTGGGTTTGCCCGTGTGGTCACAGGTCCTAGGTCTCGTGGCGAAGGCCGCCCCGCCCTCTTTCAGTCAGTCCACCCTTTGCCCCGCGAGGTTTTTTTTCAAGCAATGTCATTCGGATTTCCTTGGGGGCGTGGTTCAAACCAAACTCGTTCGCGAAAACGGGGTGGGGCAACGAGTATTGGTTTCCGATTCAATGCCGCATGTAATAGTGTATGATAAGCAACACCCACACATTGTTATAGTGTATGCCATGTGTGTATCGCGTGCTCATAGCAATACACGTTGCAGACCACCCAATCAGCCCCACAAGGCTCACAAGAGGGGGTTCAGGGGGGTCTTCGTCCACCACAGGTTCCAAGAATCTGTATGCTGCGTTGGTGCAAAACAGGATTGGTACCCAGGGATCTCTACCACTTCATATTTGCTTGAGTGCGTTGGGTGTGCATAAGTGCGGGATGCTCACTTTCAAATTTGGGGCTGGTGGTGAATACTTCACGATCGTGAGGGTCAGCCAGTACGCCAGTGGCAACTGGGGGCCACAGACGGATGGGGGAGTTCAGTTAGTTTCGTTGCCGTTCAATGTATTTCTGAAACGCTTTATCATGCGTGCCAGAGCCCAGGAAGATCACGGGGGAGATGAGATCGATGAATTAAGTTGTGCGATCTGCAGGCCGATCAGGGCGCCACGGGAACACAATAGACAGTTCGCCTATCGTTTAGAGCAGCTTCTTGATTTCAATCTGAGCCTGGTCGCAGTCAAAAAGAAGGCCAAGACAAAAGAGGACCCTGCCCCTGCCCCATGGTTGCCGTTCGGCATGGCACCCGTTGAAATGGAAGATGAGCCAGCTCCCGTCACGAAGGCTGGCGAACCCCCCGACCCGTTAGACGAGGCCGACCGATGCGAGTACCATGATGACTCTGGAGAAGAGTCCTTGTGTGATAACATTGATATGTCTAGTGAGAGTTGCGCTGACTCTGATCCTGGTGATGGCCCACACGAGGCCGACCCAGAGCCGTTTCCTGTGCCAGCTCCGCCACTGCCAGCTCCAGCTCCTGTGGAGCCTGTCGGCGAAGGCCCAGGCCCTCCAGGCCCTCCAGGCCCTGAACTCCCAAGAGGAGGCCTCACGTTGTACGGCATGGCCCCCACTGGCCGTGCGAAGTGCGTCATATGTGACGGTGTGATTCCGAAAGGAGAGTGGCGGGTGGAGCACCGAATGCGAGATTCATCCAAACTCTCCGACGTGAGAAAGGTTCACATCAGGTGTATTCCTCGGCTGCCAGCCGAGTTGCGAGCGCATAATTTTTTAGTTGCCCAGGAGTGGGCTCGTCGACCTGACATCCCCCTTGCTGAGCAAGACATCTTGAATACGATTGTCGAGATGCTCCGTCCAGATGCAGGCGCTGCTGCATCCTCTGGAGATCCTGCCCCTGGACCGCCTGGAGCTTAGGCAACGAGTTTCCAGTGCGCCACTTGTCTCTGGCTTGCATGCTGCGTGCAATGATGATGCCATAGGGTCGGGATGGGGGGAGAACTGGAGTAGCGAGTAGTAGAAAGGGGGGCTCGAGGAGGTGACGTCATACCGGTTGCGGGCTGCCCGCCATGGGTCCGCTCGCGGTGGAAACCTTGCGCCGCCGAAGCCCTAGCCTAAGATCGCTCACCCACCCAAGGAAACAGAAGTTGCACCGCCGAAGGGCCAGAACTGGGCCTGCCCAGGGCCGCCCAAACGTCTGAACAACAGTCTGTTCAGAACCCCATCTTCTTCTGAACAGCCCCCCTCTTCTGAACACGCGTTTGTTCAGAACTCGCCGTTTCCTTGAAAAACACATGTGTTCAGAACAATTCTTCTGAACAGGAATTGTTCAGAGGTTTGTTCAGATGCAATCTTCTGTACAAAGCTCTGTTCAGAACTGTACTTTTGGGTTGTGCAAGGTCCCCGCGCCAGGGGGTGCGAGCTTAGGTGGCAGGGGCGCGAGCTGCAGATGCGAAAACGTCGCAGCCCGCAGATCGGACTGAACTTGGCTCGCGCCGCTGTTTGAATTTTGATGCTGCTCAGCGCTTGAGCTCGATTGAGCGTGAGTCAGTCGACGGACTGAGTCGCGGAGCACGTGGCCTCGCCACCTTCATGGCCAAGAGACGTGCGGCCGCCGCAGGCATTGCCATCGAATCCTTCTCACTTCTCTCGAGAGGTCAAGCGGGCCCTCCTTCTGGGCCCCTGAGGACTTGATAGCGCCATTAGTGAGTTAGTTGTTTTACCAACTTCGTCTTTGTTCATCTCCGATGTCTGGGGCACTCAATACTCTGCAAGTAAAGCCGTCCCCCTAGAACAAGTTTAGCATTGAAAGGTTAATGGTGCAGGGCCCAGAGGAGACGCCCACGTACGCTGCCAAGCAACAATGCAACCGTGCAAACAAACAAACAAAACATTCATGCGTCAATCGATGGCATCAAAACGCAGGCCGCCAACAACATGTTCTAAATATTTGGGCCGTCTGGGCGTCCATAGGCATGCGCACCTAGTATTATGAACACAGCACGATTGCACGATCATGGCATACTATGTTCGTTCGCAGCCATTTTGGCCTGGAGAAGGCTGCGACGCGCTGCGTCTGCAGCTTTCCAGATTGGCCAGCCTACAGGCCAACATATTCATTTCGGTATCTCGGATTCCAGTTTCCAGTTCGATGGGCAAGACAGTTGTGGTTCCCAAGTCGTGTGCGGGCGGCCTGCGCGCCGAGAAGACGGCCACTCAGACTCAGACTCGGAAGAAGCCGAAAACTATCCAGGAAGAGATCGCATAAGCTGATCCTGCAGAATGCTGTCTCTGTGGGCAGACCAGCCGTGACATCGATCGCGACGGCGATGGCATCGCTTTGGTCAAGTGGGTGAAGTATGATCGGAGCTCCGTGACTGGCCAGATCAGGCTACCAGGCAGAGAGTGAGTGCCACCACTGCTGGGACACCAGCCGACGATTCTTCGACTGCGCACTCCAGGAGCTGGTGGACGAGAAGAAAAGTAACCCAACCTTAGACACTCGATTCGGCCCCCTTCGGCGCGATCGCGCCAGGAAAGAAGGGAAGTTCAAACACGAGGAGAAGAAGACGCTCAAATGCTGGACCTCATCCTTCGAGGAGAGCTACGTGGACTCATTCGAGGAGGGCGGCTTCTACAAGCTCTCGACATTCTGCGAGATCTACAAGGTGCCCTATGCTCGCTCCGATGTGGAAGATGAGGTCATCGAGAAGATTCGCCATACGTACCCCGCTGCAGAGATCTCCAGGGACACCAGGTTTCGCGCCATGGGCGTGTGGGTGGTCAATGATCCGAACCCTCAGCTTGCAGATTACAGGTTTCGGCGCGGAGTCAAGAGCGGTGCAACCAACAAGAGAGTGGAGGAGCATGCGGATGAAGACCTTGCTGATGAGGCCTACCAGCAGCAGAGGAAGGTCAGGCGACTGACTAGCAAGGCCCCTTCTGCGCTGCGAGCTCGGAGCCACGACGTGGATGACAAGGACGTGGCCAACGTGGAGGACGTCGCCGAGCCCGACGCCGATGCAGCAGAGTCCGAGGCGCCGCAGCGGGCCACGCCGATGCAGTCTCTCTCTTCCGCTGGGCCAGGAATGTTCGCGTTGCCGTTCGACGCCAAGTCTCGCGACTCTCGTGGCAGCGCCGTGGAGCTCAGCGTGGCCCGCGACGGCGACGACGACTGCGCGGACGATGCTGGCGGCTCTGTGGCTGGGGTGCGTGTAGGGCGCAGAAATCTCCCTCCAATGTAGCTCTATTGTAAGTTTTGCATGGGCATTCGTGTTTGTTTTGTCACGCGTTGTTCTTCGTTTGGTGCCGGGTGCCCGAGTGAAACGCATGCGGTTTTGAGAAAAACTCACCTAATGGGCGGCGCCGTTTTGGCGCTCGGGTTAACGCAATTGGTGGGGATTTCTGTGGCCTCGAAGGGCAAGGCCAACAAGAAGTGTAGTCCCAAAGACGCTGCCGTGGGCAGGGCCTTGCTCAGGCGGGCCAAGGCGATGGACGTTCATGATGCGGAGCAGCAGTGGAACAACCGCCCTAGGAATCGAACTCACGAGGCCGCCACCACTGCTCTCGTCAAGTCGGCTCGCGAGCTCGCCAAGTTCCCTAGTGATGAGGCCTGCCTGAAGCTGTCTGAGGAGGTCACCATCCTGGCGCGCGAGATGCAGGATCGTAAACGTATATTTGATGAGCTGAAGCAGGCCCCCGCTGATTTTGTCAACCAGGTGTTCTCGGATGATGATCGGAAGACGGTGCTATCTTTGAAATGTCCCCTCCTCGTGCAGATTATCCAACAGACATCGTTCCAATTGGCGTCCATTGACCCCTCGCTCATGTTGAAGCTCGCCGAATGCCCAATCGACATCGTCCCCGACACAGATGCTCAGCCCCCTGGCTGGTTCCCGCTCTCACGCATGTGTTTGGGGATGGCCTTGCTATCCTCGGGGTGCACCGACAGCAATCCCACGGCCGAGACGGCCATCGCGCTGCTCACCCGCACGCAGAACAGCATCGTGGTGGACATGGTGGAGCGGATCTGCCTCGACGCGAAGCATGAGGACAACTGCGTGGCCATGATCGAGGAGGTGCGGTCGGCCTTGCAGCACTTTGCGCCCTTCGTGTTCGACGATGCCGAAACGATTACGTACGAGCGCGGGGAGACGAAGTGCGAGGTGCAGATCAAGAACGGTTTGTTCAAGCAGGCTTACATCATTTTCTTTTTTTTTTTTTTTTTTTTTTTTTATTTTTTTTTTTTCTTTTTTTTTTTTTTTTTTTTTTTTAGTTTTTTAATTTTTTTTTTTTTATTTCTTTTTCTTTTTTTTTTAGTTTTTTTTTTTTTTTTTTTTTTTTTTTTTTGTTTTTTTTTTTTTTTTTTGTTTTTTTTATTTTTTTTTTTTTTTTTTTTTTTTTTTGTTTTTTTTTTTTTTTTTTGTTTTTTTTTCTTTATTGTTTCTTTTTCTTATTTTGTTTTTTTTTTTTCTTTTTTTTTTTTTTTTTGTTTTTTTTTTGGTTTTTTTGTTTTATTTTTTTTTATTTTTTTTGTCTTTTTTTTTTTTTTCTTTATCTTTTTTTTTTTTTTCGTGTTTTTTTTTTTTTTTTTTTTTTTTTATTTTTTCTTTCTTTTTTTTTTTTACATCGACCTCTCGATGATGATCGTCGCGGGCGACGTCCTCAAGACCGTTCGTGCAGGGGGGGTCGTGTCAGGAGAGCTTCGCACCACTGCGAAGAAGATGATGGCTGCGATCAAGATGGCTTCGCCACGCCTTCGCAACCTCGCCACGGCTGCAGGCCTCAAGGGCTCATGCAACTCGAACGCCATCAAGCTCGCATGGGACAAGTTGGCTGAGATGTTTCCTAGCACGGACCTAACTGCAATCGCGAACGAGATCGATGGCGCCAACTCGGCCTTCCAGGAGAAGGTCATGTCGTTGTGCAAGGGCCATGCCGAAGCCAAGCCTTCCGAGGGGGAGGCTGAGGCGGCTGAGGCTACGGATCCGCGGGTGGACGCCTTCAACATGATGGTCGACCTCACTGAGCACACTGGCGTGGTCGACAGATTTGCTTCCTTGTGTATCTACGGTGACGCTTCCGACTTCGAGGAGGAGGTCCACCGCGGCTTCCAGGCGGCCGCCAAGGACCTGATCCTCTTCATTGTGGCCAACGTCGGCGTCTACAAGCCTGCCCTTGGTTCGGTCGAGGCCGTGGTCTGCTTAACTTTGAGCTCGGTGATATTTCGATGATGGGGTCTCTTATGATATACGCCTGTACTGCATGGCAACAGACACGCATCCACATGTCACTGCAAGTTGCGTCGCCGTTAATCGTAACTGTTTGTGCAACTGGGTTTTCAAGGGCCTTTGCGCTCAAGTGCTGTCCGTGAGCGTTTTCGAAGGGCTGTGCGGACTACAACCTGTCTTATGGCAGGGGTCATTGGTTCCACGATCGTGCGAGCTTGCTTTAGCTTGAAGGGTGCCCCTGAATCCCCAGAGTCTCCAGAGGGGGAGGCCTCCGCGGGCCCGTTGCTCTCTTTAGCAGTCGGGGCCTATGGTGGGGAATGGGGGTGGGGGAGGGGGGGCCTCTCGGGGCCATCTTAAAGCGGGTTTGGGGCCATCTTGGAGCTGAGCAATATCCAAGCTAGCTGGGGCACTCAGGAGGCACGTGTGGACCGAAACCTCGGGTACAAGTCAATGCAGGGGCCGATTTGAGGATATCGATCTATGAATGGGGGGCCATACCAGCGTCGCCCTCTAGATTCTAAATCCCCCTAGGTCGCCTCTTGGGGCCCTGTTGGTAAACCATGTGCGTTCGGGGGCGCTCTTGGGGCTTGGGGCCGTCTTGGATCTTGGGGCTGTCTTGGTTCTGTCGCGGGGCTCCCCCAAGACACCTTAGAACCGATTTCCAACGCCCGACAGAAGCGAAACTGCAAAATCACGTGCTTGTTGCACTAATTGTTGGAAGGGGGGTTACTTTGACCCTGCGGAGCGCCAGTGGGATGACCCATGTGTATTCTAAGCTCGAGGGAACCTTGGGGTCTTGGGGTTCGGTGGCGGTGGTCGTTGCAGGTGGCCGCTGGCGCGTGCCATCGGCCAGCCGCGGCGGAGGTTTCAGTAGTTCCGTTCTGTCCAACCTAGGGAAGTAGCCATATCGGCTCGTTGGCTAAGGTGCCACCGTGCATAGCGCTATCGGGGGATGAAATAGACAATGGATGGGCGTTGTTGCATGTCCCCCCCCCAAAAAAACGCCAGCCGCGGTGAGGCCCGCCATGCGCTTTTATGCGCCAGCCCACTGGTGCAACGCACAACGTGCCGACTCGCGTGCTCTTGCGCGTTGCGGTTTCTGCATTGCCCGCGCTAAGACAATCGCAATGTTGGCCTGGGAGCCGAACTGAACCCTTGGTGGCGACCGATTCGGTTTCCAACTTCTACACGGACATGCGTGCTGCACGTGTCCGTCTATTTGCACAGCGCGCCGATGCGCGCGCGCGGTCTCGCGCGCTCTGGCCCCAATCTTGTCCGCAATCGGACGGTCGCAATGTTGGCCTGGACACTAAAGTGCGACATCAGCGGTGGCCGATTGGAGCTCAAACTGAACTCGCGGCGTTTACGCCTACGCGTCCGTATGTTGGCGCGGCGCACAACGGGCCGACGCGCGCGCGGGCTCTCGGGAGTGGCGGTGCCTGTCAGCAATAGGGCAGTCGCCATGTTGGCCTGGAAACTGAAGTGGGCCCTCAGCGGTGACCGATTTGATTTCCAACACCTCATATGTTTTCCACGTGTTCGTGCATTTGCATAATGGCAAGGGCGCCAGCGCGCGCGCGAGCGGTGCTCCCGCCTTGCCCGCAATAGAGGGCATGTGCCACGCTGACCTGGGGACTGAACACTGAACTGAAACCTTGGCGCCGACCGACCGATCGGAATTCCAAAGTAACATGCATGTTGTTTCGCGTGTCTCCCTGTTGGTGCTGATTACATGGCGTGCGCGATTTTTCTAGTGTGGACAATGTAAAAATCGCGCGCGCACGATTTCTGTATTGTCCACAATAGAACATTCGCTATGCTGGCCTAGAAACTGAAGTGAACCCTTGGCGGTGACAGATGCGATTTTCAACCCGACATGCTTTTTTTACGTGACCACCGAATGGTGCTGCGAGCAACGCGCCGACGCTCGCGCGCGAGGGGTAATTTCCTCATTGTCCACAGTCCACAATGGAGCAATCGCCATGTTGGCCTGGAAACTGAAGTGGCACCTTAGCGGTGACATATTTGATGTTTAAGTTAACATACGGTTTACCGTGACCACCTAATGGTGATGTGCAGGACGCGCCGCCGACGCGCGCGCGCTCTCGCGCGTGGTGGTTGATGTGATGCCCATTGCCGAACATAACACATCGTCGCTTTGGCCTGGGAACGGAAGCGAGCCCTTGGTGGTGACAGATTTGATTTCTAACCCAGCATGTGTTTTTTTTACAAGTCTGTCTTTTTTGTGAACAACGCGCGGTCTCGCGCGCGGGTGATTTTGTGTTGCCGCAGTGGGACAGTGGCCAAATTGGCCTGGAAACTGGCGTGGACCTTCAGCAGTGACCGATTGGATTTCCAATTGGACATGCGGTTTTTACGTGACCGCCTATTGGTGCGGCGTGCAACGCGCCGCGCGTTCTCTCGCGCGCGCGGTGGCTTTGACAACAATAAGGTTGCCCCCATGATGGCCTGAAGAAACTCTTCTCGACCAACTTTCCAACTTCGCATGGGTTGTTTCACGTGTCGGCCTATTGGCGCAGCGCACAACGCGCCGACGCGCGCAAACTCTCGCGCGCGGTGGCCCCAATAGTGCTCGCAATCGGACGGCCGCCATGCTGACATGGGAACTGCAGTGGACTCTTGTCGGTGGCTTCTTGCATTTTCAATCCAACTTGCGGCATTACGCGTCCGTCTGCGTGTCAAGCGTGCGGCGCGTCGATGCGCGCGTCGCGCGCGCGCGCTCTCGCGCGCGGTGGCGGCTGCGTTGCCAGCTGTAGGGCAGTCGCCACGTTGGCTTCGGAGTTGAAGTGCGCCCTTGGCGGTGGCCGATTGGGTTCCACTAGGACAGAGGTTTTTTTTTCGCATGTCCGCCGATGGTGCTTCCTACAAAGCACCGACGCGCGCGCTCGCGAGTGGTCTCTGCAACGACAACAACAAGGCAGTCGCCATGCTGCCGTGGAAACTGAAGCCCCCCCTGGCGGTGGCCGATTCGATTTCACACTTAACATGCGGTGTTGCGCGCGCCGCGGGATCGGCGCAGCGCGAAACGCGTTGAGACGTGACGCGCGCGCGCCCGCAGGCGGCGGTACCTGCATTGCCCGCAATCGAACAGTCGCCACGTTTGCTTGGGGCCTGAAGTGAACCCACAGCGGTGGCAACTTCGAGCTCCAAGCGAACATGCGGTTTTTACGTGCCCGTCTATGGGGGGAGCGCACAGCGCACCGACGCGCGCGCGCGTTCTCGCGCATGGGGGTTCCTGCCTTGTCCGCAAGGTGGCAGTCGCCATGTGGGCCTGGCAACTGGGGGACCCTTAGCGGTGGCCGCATTGATTTCCAGGCTGGCACGGTGCATTCCCGTGTCCGTTGAAGGGTCTAGCGCGCGACGCGCCGACGAGCGCGCGCGCGCCCTCGCGAGTTGTGCATCCTGCGCTGCGTTGCCCGCAGTCGGGCTGTCGCCACGCTGTCGTTGGGACTAGATAAAGACTAACTGTTCGGGGTGGCCACTTGGGTTTGGATTTCCCACTCCAGCCCACTGCTTGTAGTGCGCCCCCGTCTGTTCGTGCAGCGCGCAGCCCGCCGACGCGGGCGCGCGCCCTCTCGCGCGGTGGCGCCTGTATCGTCCGCAATGGAAAAGTCGCCGCTTTGGCCTGGGAGGTGATGTGGCCCCTTTGAGCGGTACACGAATTGAACTGGTTCACACCACAACAAACATTCCGTCTATTGGTGTTGCGAGCAACGCACTGGCGCGCGCGCTCGCGTTCTGGCGTGGTGGTGCGTATTGGCCGCATGTGAACCATCGCCGCGTTCGCCTGGAGACAGAAGCGAAGTCTTGGCAGTGACCGATTGAATGTCCAACTCCACATGCGTGGTTTACGCGTCCGTCTGCTGGTGCAGCGCGCAACGCGCCGACGCCCGCGCGCGCGCGCTCTTGCGCGT